CCATACAATGTAAGGGAACTTTCAGTCTTTATGGCCTATGGGCCTTAGGTTGAGAACTTGTTTTAAAGGATTATTTAATAATGGTACACAAATCTACTAGATGATGTTGGAATTGTTAAAATTATAAAGTGGGTTCGTTGTTGTTGTTTTTTGCCAGGCACGGTGCCTCACGCCTGTAATCCCAGCACTTTGGGAGGCTGAGGCGGGTGGATCACAAGGTCAGGAGTTCGAGACAGCCTGGCCAATATGGTGAAAACCTGTCTCTACTAAAAATACAAAAAAATTAGCCGAGCGTGGTAGCTAATTTTTTGACTCCATCTCAAAAAAAAAAAAAAAAAAAGGTTTTTTGGGTTTTTTTCATTTTCTTTTTTTTTTTTTGAGACACAGTCTTGTTCTGTCACCCAGGCTAGAAAGCAGTGGCATGATCTCAGCTCACTGCAACCTCCGCCTCCTGGGCTCAAGCAATCCTCCCACCTCAGACTTCCAAGTAGCTGGGATTACACTCATGAGCCCCCAGGCCTAGCTAATTTTTGTATTTTTAGTAAAGACGGGCTTTAGTCATGTCGGCCAGGCTGGTCTCAAAGTCCTGGCCTCAAGTGACCCACCCACTTCAGGCTCCCAAAGTGGTGGGATTATAGGCGTAAGTCACCCTACTCAGCCATTAAGAAGTGTTTCATTCAAATTCCAAAAACAATCATTTTTTATTAATCAATGGAGAACCCAGCAATTGAAGTCTTGTGTGTATTTAATGTCCACCGATTTTAACCTTATTACTCAATTTCACTATTTTGGCACCAGACAATAACCTTCTGAGAGGTGCCTCAGAAAATACATCACTCTAAAATAACTTGATTCAAATTAAGGTTCTCTTTTTAGGACAGTGGTTTAGTCTCATGCTGATATTAAACAGTGCAGGATTTGGAGATTCTTGCTCTCACTTATAAACCTCTTAAGATTAAAGGTTCAGCTTCATAACTCTTTAAGTCTTTAGCACTCAACACTGAACTTGTACTGGATCTTGTTTGTTTTGAGTCAGGGTCTCTATCGCCCAGGCTGGAGTGCAGGGCATGATCTTGGCTCACTGCAACCTCGACCTCCCGGGCTCAGGTGATCCTCCCATGTCAACCTCCTGAGTAGCTGGGACTACAGGTACAGGCCACCATGCCTGACTAACTTTATTTTTTGTAGAGACCACGTCTCTCTATGTTGCCCAGGCTGGTCTCAAACTCCTGGGCTCAAGCAATCCTCCCCCACTTTGGCCTCCCAAAGTGCTAGGATTACAGGTGTGAGCTGCTGCACCCGGCCAATGTACTGGGTCTTTTTTTTTTTTTTTTTTTAAACGGAGTCTCACTCAGTTGGCCAGGCTGGAATGTAATTGTGTGATCTCCGCTCACCGCAACCTCCACCTCCCGGGTTCAAGCAGTTCTCCTGCCTCAGCCTCCTGAGTAGCTGGGATTACAGGCGCGCACCACTACACCCGGCTAATTTATGTATTTTTAGTAGAGACAGGGTTTCACCATGTTAGTCAGGCTGGTCTCGAACTCCTGACCTCGTGATCCCCCCATCTTGGCCTTCCAAAGTGCTGGGATTACAGGCATGAGCCACCACGCCCAGCAAGTCCTAATTATTAATAATGATGTTGGTCAATCAGCCTACAGCAACAATTCTCAAACTTTTTGTTCTCAGGAATCTTACACTTAAATTTATTTAGAATCCCATAAAGCTTTTGTTAGGTTGGTTACATCTATTGATGTTTCCAGTATTAAACACTGAAAACTGGGAAATGTCTTAAATATTAATTCATTTTAAAATACCAACAAATCTGTTATATGTTAACAAATACATATTTTTATTGAAAATAGTTTTCAAAACAAAATTAATGAAAGAGTGGAACTGTTACACTTTTTTGCAAATCTCTTTAATGTCTGGCTTAATAAAAACAGCTGGATTTTCACATCTGCTTCCACACTTAATTTGTTTTATCACAGGTCATGTTAGTTTCTAGAAATGTCCATTGAACACTCATTAAAGAATGACAGTGAAAAAAACAAATAATGTCCTAGTATGAACATGAAATAAAACAATGTATTTGTATCCTAGGTCCCTCATTTCTTTATGTCTCTCTTAAATGACCTGACTTCAAACTGGAGCAATAAAGTCTACATTTTATAATTATTTCTTTATGTTGCTCTTTCATCGGTCTACAATAAATTTCAAAATGCTTCCTAGACGCTTCTGAGAAGCAAAATAAAAGGATGATGAAATTAAGCATTTACACCTATACTTCTCTTCCTAGTAACCAAGTAAAAAACTACCTAGGGAAACACTTAAAATGCCAATTTGGGAATTAATCTAGATCATTAGTAAGTAGATCCATCCAAAATCAATCTAGATTATGGTAGAGCTTTAAAATGTTAAGTGTACATTTTGTACAATAGTACAAATCTGCAAAAACCTCACTTGCTCTCAACAAATGGTACAAAACTGGGTTAAAAGCCAAGGGAATAGGTGTGTTAAATTTAAAAGTTCAAGTACATCGTGGAGTTGAATGAAAAATAGTTTTCTGAATACCACTAAACGAGTGAAAGTCCAAAAATAATGGAAAAAGTCAAAGTCGGCAGAGCTCGGTAGCTCATGTCTGTAATCCCAACACTTTGGGAGGCCGAGGCGGGCGGATCACAAGGTAGGGCGATTGAGACTAGCCTGGCCAATATGATGAAATGCTGTCTCTACTAAAAATACAAAAAGTAGCTGGGTGTGGTGGTGCGTGCCTGTAGTCCCAGCTACTCGGGAGGCGGAGGCCCGAAAATTACTTGAACCCAGGAGACAGAGGGTGCAGTGAGTGGAGATCGCACCACTGCACTCCAGCCTGGCGACAGAGCGAGACTCCGTCTCAAAAAAAAAAAAAAAAAAAAAAAAAAAAAAAGTCAAAAGTCGTCTGAGCAAACAAAAGACCAGACAAAAACTTTATGAATTAAAAACTAGCCATAAAGGTGGTTAATTAGAACAGGATGAGGAAGAAAAGCTTAGGGAAAATCTATCACTCCTGATTAAGTGCAAATCCCAAGTAAATTATTGATACTAACAGTGAGCTGGAGCACTTTGCCTTACCAGGCAACTTTCTGCAACTACTCTACATACACAAAGTTTTCCTATGCTTTTTCTCAAAAATATGAGCCTGCTTCAGGTTAATGCCCAGGTGAGATGCTTTTTGTTGCTGTAGCAGTTTAGTTCTATTTTCTTTCTTGGTTATTCTAAATGCTCTATTACAACTGGAGAGCTAGGATGAACCAATCCCGAGTAAGAAACGGGAAAGTACAGTAAAGAGGCGACAGCTCTGCACCCCCACACGGAAAAAGACTCAGAGAAGAGCAGCGACATCCTTGCCCCAGCTCCAATCCGAACGGAGGCAGGATTCCCAACAACATCGGACGTCTCCCTCCCTCGCCGCCCCACGCCCTCCCGACGAAGAAGCACAAAGTGGAGAGTCCAGCCGCTTCTCAGGGCCACGGAGCCTCCCAGTCAGGGATTCTCTCCCGTTACATAACTGAGGCCTAGGGCCCTGCTTCTGCGATCAGTCCTCTGGAGGGAGATGGACGGGTTCTCCAGGGACCCTCTCAGGGAGGTGGAAGCGGGGCTCTGCACCTGGTCGACCCGGGAGAAAGAAGTGGGACGACATGAGGGAGGCCGCGACCAGAGGCTTTGGGGTACAGGGGGTGATGAACCAGCGGGGCGGAGAGGGGCGGGCGGCTCCGGGAGTCCCGCAGCAGGCCCTGGCACCTCCGGCCCTAGTCGGCTCCCCTCCCTCGCCTGCCCACTCCCCACCGGCCGCCCCCTCCCCCATTCCGCGCTCCCCTCCCCCGCGCCTCCATCCCCGACCCCAGCCTAGCGGCAGGCAGACCTGCAGGGAAGGCCCTGGCCACCGCCGTTGGATGGCTCCCAGCCCGGTACCTGGTCAGACATGATGACGGTGGCTTCACCCGGGGGTCTCCGCACAGCAGCGGCCTCGGGTAGGCAGAACCTCGCTCCGGGATTTACAAATCCGTCTCCCTTCCCCACAGCACAACACCGCGGCTGCAGTAACTTCCGCTACGCCTCGCGTCACTTCCGCTACGCGCAGGGAGGAGGGAGAGAGGAAAAAGAGGAAAGACAAGGCGGGAAAATGGGTGGGGGAGCGGCCAAGAGGAGGGGCGGGCTGTGGAGCTGCTTTACCGGTGGTCGCGCGGGTGAACGGCAGTTTTGTCAGTTCTTTCAAGGACTAGGTCCAGCGCATCAGTACTAGGGCCATCCCCCAGGAGCAAAAGTCCTGCCTCCATGTCTCAGTGTTTGGAGCCACTCACAGCCTAGATTCCTCTCTCCATTACACCTTGCGCGTCTCTGACGACTGAGCCGGGATACTTCTTTTGTCCCCTCCCAGCCTTGCTCATCAACCTCCCACCCCCAAATATGTTTATTTGAATGCCAGCTCTAGAACTAACATTTTCCGTTGACCAGCACTCTTGCCAAACACATGACCGTGATTTAAAACAACAAGAAATCAACGACCCAACACAATCTTGATGGCTACTGATGCTGAAGACCGCTGCTGAAAGTTCTAAATAGGGGGTGGGTAATTCCAACCCTTGAATTGGTTGCTTTGCGTTAAGGTTAAAGAATGATTCTTCTTGGCAGGGCGCTGTGGCTCACGCCTGTAATCCCAACAGTTTGGGAGGCCGAGGCGGGCGGATCACCAGAGATCGGGAGTTCGAGACCAGCCTGGCCAACACGGTGAAACCACGTCTCTACTAAAAATACAAAAATTAGACGGGCGTGTTGGCTGACACCTATAATCACAGCTACTAGGGAGGCTAAGGCTGGAGAATCGCTTGAACCTGGGAGGCGGAGATTGCAGTGAGACGAGATCCACGCCATTGCACTCCAGCTTGGGCGACCAGAGCGAAACTCCGACTCAAAAAAAAGGAGGAGGGGGTGCGGTTCCGCGCCCCGCGCATGGAGAAGCAGGCTCCGACCGGCCCGCCGAGCTGCAGCAGCCCTTTGCGCCCTCCTGGCCCTCCCACCAACATCATGTTCCAGTTCCTGCTTGGATTTACATTGGGCAACGTGGTTGGAATGTATCTGGCTCAGAACTATGACATACCAAACCTGGCTAAAAAACTTGAAGAAATTAAAAAGGACTTGGATGCCAAGAAGAAACCCTCTACTTCATGAGAATGCCTCCAGCACTGCCTTCCAGATACACTGATTCTACTGCTCTTGAGGGCCTCCTTTACCATCTGAACCAAAAGCTTTTGTTTTCATCTCCAGCCACTGGGCTCCTCTTCTTTGCTAGAACCTGTGTTTTTGGCTTTAGAGCAAGCAAAATGGGGCCTCAATTTGAGAACTACCCTACATCTCCAACTCTCACCTCTTCACATATTCCCTTTCCAATTGCATAGGAGGTTCTAAGACTGGAATTATGGTGCTAGATTAGTAAACATGACTTTTAATGAAAAAAAATGATTTTTCTTAAATTTCTTCTGTAAAGCACGATGGCCCTACTGGCACAAACAGTGGCCCTACGGGCATACTCATGGAGGATAAGAATATAAACAAATAGAATTGAGAATCCTGAAATAAATCAATAACCCTCACATTTACATCAACAAAAACACCAAGACAAATCAATGGTGAAAGAACAGTCTTTTCAACAATTGGTACTAGCGCAACTAGACGTCCACATGCAAAAGAATGACTGTTTTGTTTTTTGTTTTTTTGTTGTTGTTGTTTTTTTGGTCACCATCTCAAAAAAAAAAAAAAAAAAAACACAAGGAGGCCGGGAACCACGGCTCACATCTATAATCCCAGCACTTTGGGAGGCCCAGGTGGGCAGATCTCCTGAGCTCAGGAGTTCAAGACCAGCTTGGGCAACATGTTGCAGTGTGCCAAGATCATCCCACTCCACTCCAGCCTGGACAACAGAATGAGACCTTGTCTCAAAAAAATAAAACAAACAAACAAACAAAATGATCGGGTGCAGTGGTTCATACCTGTAATCCCAGCACTTTGGGAGGCCAAGACAGGTAGATCACTTGAGGTCAGCAGTTGGAGACCAGGCTGGCCAACATGGTGAAACCCCATCTCTACTAAAAATGCAAAAGCTAGCCAGGCATGGTGGCGCAGGCCTGTAATCCCAGTTACTCGGGAGACTGAGGCAGGAGAATCGCTTGAACCTGGGAGGCAGAGGAAGCTGCAGTGAGCTGAGATCATGCCATTGCACTCCAGCTTGAGACTGGGTGACAGAGTGAGACTCCGTCTCAAAAAAAGAAAACAAGGAGATACCACTTTATACCCACTAGAAGGGCTATGTTCAAAAAGACAGAAAATAACAAGTGTTGACAAGGCTATGGAGAAATTAGAACCCTTATACCCTGCTAGTAGGAATGTAAAATGCTTTAGGCTAGGCATAGTAGCACTGGCCTACAGTCCTAGCTACTTGGGAGGCTGAGGCACAAGGATCCCTTGAGGCCAGGTGGTGGAAGCTTCAGTGGGCTATGCTATGATCAAGCCTGTGAAAAGTCAATGCACTATAGGCTGGGCAACATAGCAAGACCCTGTCTCAAAAAACAAAAATGTTTTGAAAAACTGGCTGTCAGTTCCCAAAATTGTAAAACATAAAGTCACCATAAGACCCAGACATTTCGCTCCTAGGTATATACCCAAGAGAATTGAAAACATATATCCATTCCAGACTCAGTGGCACATGCCTGTAATCCCAGCACTTTGGGATGCCAAGGCAGGAGGATGCCTTGAGGCCAAGAGTTCAAGATTACAGTGAGCTATTATAGCATTCTAGCCTGGGCAACACAGTGAGACCCTGTGATACGGTTTGGCTGTGTGTCCCCACCCAAATCTCCTGTCCAATTGTAATTTCCAATGTTGGGGGAAGGACTTGGTGGGAGGCGATTGAATAATGGGGGCAGATTTTCCCCTTGCTGTTCTTGATATAGTGAGTGAGTTCTCACGAGATCTGGTTGCTTAAAAGTGGGTAGTACTTTCCCCTTCACTCTCTTTTTCTCCTGCTCTCATGTGAAGAAGGTGCTAGCTTCCCCTTTGCCTTGGTCCATGATTGTTAAGTTTCCTGAGGCCTTCCAGTCATGCTTCCTGTTAGACCTGCAGACCTATGAGTCAATTAAAACTCTTTTCTTCATGAATTACCCAGTCTAAGGCAGCTCTTTACAGCAATGTGAGAACAAACTAATATACTCTGTTTCTAAAAATAAAAATAAAACATATAACAAAAGCATGTACACTAATGTTCACAGCAACATTAGTGAGCTACTGCTCCAGCCTACTACTAGGGCTGAAGGATTAGGGAGAAAATGGAGAGTGACTGCTGATGAGTACAGAGTTCCTTTTGGAAGTGATGAAAATGCTCTAAAATTGATTGGTGATGGTTGCACAGCTATATGAATACACTAAAAATTATATATTTTAAAGAGGTGAGCAGTATATGCTAATTATCTCAGTAAAACCATTATATTTTTAAAAAATACAATGGCCTTGAAAAGAGCTGCTAGTACTAGCTGAAGAGGATTATTAAGGGAACCTACATCCAAGCCAGCTGGTCAGGAAAAGCTTCCAAAATAAATAAATAAATAACATCTAAATTGAATGTCAGAGAGTAAGCTGAAATAAGCTAGAGCAGTAGTTCCTTTTTTTTTTTTTCTTTTTTTTTTTTTTTGAGACAGAGTCTCACTCTGTCACCTGGCTGGAGTGCAGTGGCACTATCTCAGCTCACTGCAACCTCTGCCTCCTAAGTTCAAGCGATTCTCCTGCCTTAGCCTCCCGAATACCTGGGACTACAGGCGCGTGCCACCGCACCCAGCTAATTTTTTGTATTTTTAGTAGAGATGGGGTTTCACCATGTTGGCCAAGATGGTCTCAAGATCTGCCGGCCTCAGCCTCCCAGAGTGCTGGAATTACAGGCGTGAGCTACCTCGCCCAGACTGAGCAGTAATTCTTAAACGTTTTTTCTTTTCTTTTGAAATAGAGTTTCGCTTTTGTCGCCCAGGCTGGAGTGCAATGGCACGATCTGGGCTCACTGCAACCTCCGCCTCCCAGGTTCAAGCAATTCTTGCCCAAGCTGGAGTACAGTGGCAAAATCTTGACTCACTGCAACATCTGCCTCCCAGGTTCAAGCGATTCTCCTGCTTCAGACTTCCAAGAAGCTGAGACTACAGGCGCATGCCACCACACCCAGGTAATTTTTGTATTTTTAGTAGCAACGGGGTTTTGCCATATTGGCCAAGCTGGTCTCAAATTCCTGGCCTCAAGAGATCCACCCACCTTGCCCTCCCGAAGTGCTAAGATTACATGCGTGAGCCACTGTACCCGGCCCAGTGTTTCATTTTTTTTTAATTAGACTTCTCTGAAGGTAGTGAGTTATCTCAATTGATTGTTCATAGTCAGTTACAGATTAGACTCCTTGTTTTACTTTTTCCACTCTTCTAACTACAGCACTTGGTTAGTCTTTTTTTTTTTTTTTTGAGATTGAGTCTCGCTCTGTCGCCCAGGCTGGAGTGCAGTGGCACGATCTCGACTCACTGCAACCTCCGCCTCCCGGGTTCACCCCACTGTCCTGCCTCAGCTTCCTGAGTAGCTGGGACTACAGGCACCCACCACCACACCCGGCTAATTTTTTGTATTTTTGGTAGAGATGGGGTTTCGCCGTGTTAGCCAGGATGGTCTCCATCTCCTGACCTCATGATCCACCTGCTTCGGCCTCCCAAAGTGCTGGGATTACAGGCATGAGTTACCGTGCCTGGCTTTTAATTTTTATTAAAATTTAAAAATTTTTAATAAAAAATAAAGTGGCACCAAGCGCGGTGGCTCATGCCTGTAATCCCAGCAGTTTGGGAAGCCTAGACGGGTGGATCACCTGAGGTCAGGAGTTCAAGACTAGCCTGGCTAACGTGGTGAAACCCTGTTTCTACTAAAAATACAAAAAAAAATTAGCCAGGCGTGGTGGCGGGCACCTGTAATCCCAGCCATTCCGGAGGCTGAGGCAGGAGAATCATTTGAACCCGGGAGGCGGAGGTTGCAGTGAGCCGAGATCACACCATTGCACTCCAGCTTGGGCAACAAGAGCGAAACTCCATCTCAAAAAAAAAAAATAAAAATAATAAAGTGGCTAAATCAGCTCACAATGGAAACTGTCTTAGGTGTGCTTTTCCTTAAGATAGCCATTGTATGGAGCAGAAATGGCTGGCTGTATTTCTTCACACAGAATATTTTAAAAAATGAACTTAAGCAAATTTTGTTAAACTTGTTAAAGAAATTTAACAAAATGTTTCAGTTTCCTATTGCTGCTAAAACAGACTACCACATACTTCATAGTTTACAGGAACACAAATCTTACAGTTCTGGAAGTCAGAAGTCCTAAAATGAAGTTGTCTGTTGGGTTGTGTTCCTTCTGAAGACTAGGGAAGAATGTTTCCTTGTCTCTTACAGCTTTTAGAGACTGGTTGCATCCTTTGGTTTGTGTCCCCTTTCTCCATCCAAGAACAGCAGCTCAGCATCTTCAAATATCTCACTCTTCCTCTGTCCCCTTCCTTCTTTCTTTCTCTCTCCCTTTCCCCCTTCTCCCTCTTTCTCTTTTTTTCCTCTTTCTCTCTCTCCTCTGATTCCATGGTCCTATTTTCTTTTTTTGAGACAGAGTCTTGCTCTGTCACCCAGGCTGGAGTGCAATGGTGCAAACACAGCTCATTGCAGCCTCTACTTCTTGGACTCAAGTGATTCTCCTACCTCAACCTCTCAAGTAGCTAGAAGGTGCACACCACTGCACCGGGTTAATTTTTTAAAGTTTCTTGTAGAGACAGACTCTCATCATGGTGCCCAGCCTGGCACATTTTCTTCTCCAACTCTGACCCTTTGACCCTTTTGTCTCGCTCTTTTTTTTTTTTTTTTTTGTATTTTAGTAGAGATGGGGTTTCACCATGTTGGCCAGGATGGTCTCGATCTCCTGACCTCATGATCCACCCACCTCGGCCTCCCAAAGTGCTGGGATTACAGGTGTGAGCCACCGTGCCAGCTTTGTCTCCCTCTTAGAAGGACTCTTTTTTTTTTTTTTTTGAGATGGAGTCTCACTCTGTTGTCCAGAATGGAGGGCAGTAGTGTGATCTTGACTTACTGCAACCTCCACCTCCCAGGTTCAAGTGATTCTCCTGCCTCAGCCTCCCGAGTAGCTGGGATTACAGGCACGCACTACCAGGCCCAGCTAATTTTTACATTTACATGGGGTTTCACTATGTTGCCCAGGCTGGTCTCAAACTCGACCTCAATTGATCCGCCTGCCTTGGCCTCCCAAAGTGCTAGGATTACAGGCATTAACCACTGCACCCAGTTGAAAAAAAATAAGGTTTAAATATAATGTACAGTATCCAAAGTCTTCCAAAGGGAGATTTCAAAGAAGCAATTGATTACCATTTTGAGCACTGAGAGAAAT